GATGTTCATTTCGTTATTCAGCCTCTACATTTTGTGTCAAAAATATTTGGATTGTGTCCTTTCCATATCGATCCAAAATTCAGGTACGATAATGAAAGACTGTGTAATGTTTTACATAACCTGTTAGCAACATTTATGATTGTTATGTTTTTTTTTGGTTTGTATAGCACCATGATATATGCAACTGAATTCAATGATCCCACATTCAATATATTCGTTCGTGTGGTTTGGGTTATTAACATTGTAGCTGCATATTCGACGAGTATAGTGGGATTAATTTTTAGTGTTACAAGGAACAAGAATCATATGACAGCCGTGTTAGCCAGCATCTGCCGAGTAGACAAGAAGTTGGTGCACCGTCACAGTAAACAGAATATTTACACAAGCCAGAGATCACACGTAATGTTGCAGCTGAAGGTTACGCTTGTAACATTAGTGACAGTTTATTCATTTTCTGCTTACTTATTTTATAATGGCACATGGACAAGTTTAATGTACATGATTTCACAAATGTTAAGCGCTGTCATAAACAACGTCAAGACATTACAGTACGTGAATGTAATACTGATAGTGAAGCAGAGATATCAGCTTATGAAACACTTACTGCTAAAGGAAGTCCTCGCACACAGCTGTTCGAGAAATCCTGGACCTTTTAAGGTCCACAACGCCAATAAGATATTTCTGACGACAGATAACTTGAAGAATTACAAGGATTCTAGTAACGTGTGCAGAATCCGCGACTTGCGAATGGTCCATAGCGAACTCTATGACGTGATACACGAGAATAACAACAGCTATGGGATTCTAATCTTACTTGAGTTTATTACTGTACTGACAAACTCTGTCGGAACAACATATTTCGGAGTTATGACTATAAATGACACAGTTTTCAATAATGGTAACTTTGAAATATATTTTAAAGGGATAACTCTTCTGTCTATGTGTACTTTTGAACTACTCGCATTTTTTTGGCTGACGACGTGCTGTCATTCAACTGCTGAAGAATTCAATGCTACGCTCATTCATATACAAAAACTACTTTTGTATCCGTATATAAGCACTTGGACTATAGTGGATCTGAAGAGTTTCTCATCTCAACTGAAAAACGTCAAGATTGAATTTAATATTTGCGGATTCTTCAATTTAAATCTGCATTTCTTTTCTGCGAGTGTTGGTGTTATGTTTACGTATATAATAGTGTTGAGTCAGTTTAATCAAAAAGTTTAATCTACGTCAATTACGTTCTGCTGTGAATCATGTAAATGCACATTAATATCTTTGTAATTTTGATTAGGATAAAACACCTTATGTCTGAGAGACTCCTGTGTGTTCAACTCGCTCAGTAGGGTCGGTTGACTCAGCCTGGTGGAAAAACTGGTTAAGCGGAAAACAGAAACAATATTTAGACTATGAAAAAGGCCAGATGTTATCTCGTGCGTAGATGGCACAGCTAGGAAGAATATATTCACATGCAAGTTTGATGATCAGTGTGTAATCTCTTCGTATCTTGTATAAATCTTTGGAGCAGTTATTATGCACATGTACCGCTCTTTCACTGATATTGACAATATTTATAAATGAAAATGTACCAATAAATTTAATTACATTTAAAATTGTGCTTTGTCTGATTTTTAGTATGCACAATAAATGAGACAAAATTGAATTAAAGTGGTTTTTAATTCTGATCAAGACAGAATAAATATTGTAAGGTTTAATGTTTTCACAGCGATGAGTATGAAGATTTCTGTCTTCTAGGTTGTTGCACTTAATATAGTATATTCATCGCCCTGATGACGGAGGCAGTATGACCTCTGAAACGTTTGTAAACATCGACCAGACTACACAGCGCAACAACCCAGAAGACAGAAGTCTTCAGAATAAATATTGTAATAAAATTTACCGTTAAGATCTAGACAAAGAAGAATCTTATGATTTGAACTCATTAGTGAAATTTGGGGTTCTCACGGCGTCGAGTATAAAGATGGATGTCTTCCGGGCTCTTAAACAGAATCCTGAAGTAGAGTGGTCAGCAAACCTGCCTCTTACTAGGAAGGGCCTCGTTTAAAATGTAGGAACAGAGACGGACTATTCTGATAGATGATTTTCTCTGTTTTCCTCCGACCCCACAGACAATTAACGAAACAGTTCCGTAAATTCGGAAGCAAATGCTTCTTCCCACTTCCTTTCGAGTGTATAATTCTCTAGCCATCATAACATTTGACGCTGTACAGTCTGAAACATTGAAAGCGTCGTTGAATAAGCTATAAATATACAATCACCAGATCATGAAGGCTTATTTTTACAGTATTAACGTCGTTCCTTTCTATACTAAAGGTCGGTGGAATAATAATAATAATAATGAACTATGGCCAAATATAATATTTGACAGATAAAACCTCCGTTCCGATAATTTCGTTTGGTTATGCCTCAGACTAATGTAATATTAAAATATTTCTAATTCTCTAAAATGTATGTTAAACATTTAAAATTCCTAAATATATTACTTAAAATAAATACCGTTGGAGTAACTTACGCGGTTGCTATTTAATGAAATATCCAAACCGCCCGCACAAATGTTAATGTATTTATTGGCATTACCGAATTACTCATCAAGGAATGTGTATTACCGAAATTACACATTGCACAATACAACAGACACTTCTGTCTTATGTACCATCCATCACCTGTTCGAATAAGAAATTATTTTCAAATTGCAGAATGGGTATGATCGATACGACCTAAATATATATGTATGTTAAGTTCAGAAAATAAAACCAAAATCGATCACAAGGCATTTATTTGCATTGTAATCAATAAGCCCATGAGAATATTACCGTGGACTGTTGACTTCATTACACACATTTACACGTTTCAAAATTATAGACAGAAACTTTTTTCTTTGTAAATTACAGTATGAAACTATTAACTTAGAACACTTTAGAATCGGTCTATGAGTAATTATCTATCCTCCATTACTCCTAATTAAGTCCACACACACAACTCAAGCGGACAATTATAAATTCTGTCGCACGATTCCAACATTAATACAGACAAAAATTGTCACTGTTGATGCCAGTTCGTGAAAAATTGTGTTTGTGTGAGATAAAGGAAATTAGAGGTTACAAGGCAAAAATTTCCAAGTACACGTATAATTGAATTACTTGGTCGATGTTCGTTTTATGAACTAGCATTACAAAATTTTAGTACTTTGAAGCTTTGCCATGAAGGAAGAGCCGTTTGAACATGATGTTCATTTCGTTATTCAGCCTCTACATTTTGTGTCAAAAATATTTGGAATGTGTCCTTTCCATATCGATCCAAAATACAGGTACGATAATGAAAGACTGTGTAATGTTTTACATAACATGTTAGCAACATTTATGATTGTTATGTTACTTTTTGGTTTGTATAGCAACATGGTATATGCAACTGAATTGATTGATCCCACATTCAATATAATCGTTCGTGTGGTTTGGGTTATTAGTGTTGTAACTGCATATTCGTCGAGTATACTGGGATTAATTTTTAGTATTACAAGGAACAAGAATCATATGACAGCCGTGTTAGCCAGCATCTGCCGAGTAGACAAGAAGTTGTTGCACCGTCACAATAAACAGAATATTTACACAAGCCAGAGATCACACGTAATGATGCAGCTGAAGGTTATGTTTATATTATTAGGGATTGTTTTTTCGTCTTGTGCTTACTCGTTTTACAATGGCACATGGACGTGTTTAATGTTCATGATTTCGCAAATATTAAGCGTTGCCATAAACATCGTCAATACATTACAGTACGTGAATGTAATACTGATAGTGAAGCAGAGATATCAGCTTATGAAACACTTACTGTTAAAGGAAGTCCTCTCAGACAGCTGTTCGAGAAATCCTGGACCTTTTAAGAGCCACAACGCTAATAAGTTATTTCTGACGACAGATAACTTGAAGAATTACAAGGATTCTAGTAACGTGTGCAGAATCCGTGACTTGCGAATGGTCCACAGCGAACTCTATGACGTGATACATGAGAATAACAACAGCTATGGGATTGTAATCTTACTTGAGTTTATTACTGTACTGACATACTCTGTGTTCGCAACATATTTCGGAGTAATAACTATGAATGACGCAGTTTTCAATAATGGTAACTTTGAAATTTATTTTAAAGGGATAACTCTTCTGTCTATGTGTGCTTTTGAACTACTCGCCTTTTTTTGGCTGACGACGTGCTGTAATTCAACTGCTGAAGAATTCAATGCTACTCTCATTCATATACAAAAACTACTTTTGTATCCGTATATAAGCACTTGGACTATAGTGGATCTGAAGAGTTTCTCATCTCAACTGAAAAACGTCAAGATTGAATTTAATATTTGCGGATTCTTCAATTTAAATCTGCATTTCTTTTGTGCGAGTGTTGGTGGTATGTTTACGTATATAATAGTGTTGAGTCAGTTTAATCAAAAAGTTTAATCTACGTCAATTACGTTCTGCTGTGAATCATGTAAATGCACATTAATATCTTTGTAATTTTGATTAGGATAAAACACCTTATGTCTGAGAGACTCCTGTGTGTTCAACTCGCTCAGTAGGGTCGGTTCACTCAGCCTGGTGGAAAAACTGGTTATGCGGAAAACAGAAACAATATTTAGACTATGAAAAAGGCCAGATGTTATCTCGTGCGTAGCTAGAAATAATATATTCGCATGTAAGTCTGATGATTAGTGTGTAATCGCTTCGTAACTTGTAGAATTCTTTGGAGCAGTTATTATGCTCATGTAGCGCTCTTTCACTGATACTGACAATATTTATATATGAAAATGTACCAATAAATTTAACATTAGTAATATTTAAATTTGTGCTTTCTCTGATTTAATTATGAGCAATAAATGAGACAAAATGGAATTAAATTCGTTTTTAATTCTGATTAAGACAGAATAAATATTGTAATATTTGACGTTGTGTGTGTGCTTGTATTAATTTATGTTGATATTCGCAATGTGACACAGCACAAATTAGAGTTTTGCTTGCAATGGTTATATTATAGAAAACGCAGTTGCAAGTCAAAAGCTATTATTAACAGCTGTGTTAAATGTTAATTCAGCGCAATCTAAGAATTGGAGTCTGTACTAAAAATATTAAATTAAATGTTTTGTTAAATATAAGTTTGCCAAAGCAATTACGTTTACTGTCTCTCTCTCCTCTAACACTTTTGGTCAGTATTGATTACTCTGTAGTAATCTGTAATATCGGCTGAGAAGGTGTAGCTAGCAACGTTAAGTTGAGGGGGGTGGCGATAGTTGTCAGAATATTATGGTTTTCGTGATGTTTCGAACAGTTTTCGGCTTACAATTTAGTACATGTGTGTATGTTAGTAAAGGGTACAAATTCTTTATCTGTGAAATTATGCAAAATATATCCTGTCAAATACAGCTTTGAAGCTAAACGTGTTCCCACACAAGGGGAACAAATATTGGCGATCAGAAAAATTAATGCAAGATACAAGAATTGTAAACATATACCACGTATAATGCTAAGAAAATGTCACTTAGCTGCGGTCTCACACCTCAGTGGCACAAAGTCCTTCTTGAAAAAAGAATAACACTCAATCATTTGGTCAATAAATTCCCTTTTTCTCATTCCGAGAGTTCGAAACCGTTTTCGCGTACGCCCATCACTGAAGCCAATCATGAGCTATAATAGTTCAGTCCCAACCCCTAAAGTCTATTGGTATGATATCTATTTTAATATTATCTCCCCAATTCTCTCAAAACCTTCAGAACAAAAATATTTATTTTATAATTTTTCTCCTTAAATATTATATGCCGCGGTCATTTAATCGTCCTTGATGTAATTATAATCAGCATCAAATATTTGTTGAAGATTATGAATTACTAAATTATTTATTACTTAACTTCATCTATGTGGGTGTTGTTCACACCTTCTTCATGCGCAATGATTCACTTCAGTGCTCTGAAACTTACAATTAACCACGTGATTCACACGTTATCAGTTATGTTATTTTTAACGTAATCGCCTTCTGAATCGGTTCAGATTTATACCACATTTAAAAAAAAAATTCAAATCCAATACAAACAATTAGAGATATTTGGAATATATTTAATAAGATTCACAGAAAGACCTGTTAATCTAATAAGGTGACTAACTCCACAGTACATGACCCTCTGTTAAAAAATTACTGTTCCTCAGATAGTCAAAAAATTATTTGTGGGCTGCAACGCTGTGGACTTAAATGCAAATAAAAACACTTCAGGACGACCATTACCCTCATCTTCAGAGCTTCACCTATGTAGATGGAGGCAGTAGGTTCTTAAACTTGGTGAGAAACATCATTGAAACGATATGTTCACAAATCATGAAAAATTAATTTCGAAACCGCTAGAATGTTTCAAAGGCACGTAGCCACCAGTTTTTGAACTAAAATAAGGCAGCCTATAACATCAAAGCTGCTAATTTTAACGTATCGAACTCCCAGCAAACTGTGTGTGTGCGCAGTATATCATCGACTGAGAAGACATCCTAAGCAGTTGTAATCCACTCTGCTGCCCCTGCAGACTGAGGTAAACCGCTTGTAGCAACCCAGCCTCACAATCTCTTGAACACGTGTTCCCCGGTCACGACGCGAATCCATGTATCTGGACTTCAATTATATGGCTTGGTTTTCATCGTCCCCGGCAATGCGACGCGAAAGTCTATACAGAACGGTTTTAAAGTTTATTAAATTTCATATATTAAAAGTAATGACATTCGGAGGGATAAATCAGTGCAGATGCAAAATCAATTTGAGTCGAAAATGTCAAACACGTGTCAGAAAATCATCCGTCTGGAAGACAGCCAATAAGGCATTTTAAAAATTAACATTTATGACGGAATAATAAAAAGAATAATTTATAACGTCAATAATTTCTGTGCTTCTCTTTTCATATTTGATCGTAAAATGGAAATAACACAGAACAGAACCATTATACCATTCAACAGTTTATTCCTTATTATAGACTTCAATACACACACCAGCAATTTCATACTCCTCCAAAGTCCAAGGAATTTAGGTCAGGTAACCTTGGTGGCTTACATCTACCCAACGACAGCCTCTCGGACGTGTATCTGTTGGAAATTTTGTATTCGAACCGAGCCCAAAAACTCGTCCTTAATCTACGCACGATGTGTTCTGGGACACCCTATATAATACAAGACTTTCATACCATTAACGGCTTCGAAATTGCTTCGACCATAAAATGATATTGCTTCAATACAGCTATCGGATTCACAGGGAATAAGCCCCCAGTACCGACATTTCCAAACTTCTCCTCCAGTTTCCTAACGTGTCTGATGGAATGCCTACAGCTACTCCATTATAATATCTGTACAACGCAGATTTCCACAAGGGGACACTGTGTATTGAGATGAAGGTGAAACCAACGTCGGAGAACAACAATGGATCCTGAAGCTTTCAAAATAAGTGAATTCGCTTATACACACAGAGAAAACGAGAAAACATAAACGTATTACTCTATACTCCTCACCCTAGTCAGCTTAAACACACGCCAAAATTGTTTTCAAGATTTTTTTTTATATTTGAGGTTATGTTTTCCAGATTTTTTTATATTTGAGGTTATGTTTTCAAGATTTTTTTTATATTTCAGGTTATGTTTTCAAGATTGTTTTTTATATTTGAGGTTATGTTTCCAAGATTTGTTTTTATATTTGAGGTTATGTTTTCCAGATTTTTTTATATTTGAGGTGGATTTGTTTTTATATTTGAGGTTTGGTTTTCAAGATTTTTTTATATTTGAGGTTATGTTTTCAAGATTTTTTTTATATTTGAGGTTATGTTTTCAAGATTTTTTTTATATTTGAGGTTATGTTTTCAAGATTTTTTTTATATTTGAGGTTATGTTTCCAAGATTTGTTTTTATATTTGAGGTTATGTTTTCAAGATTTTTTTTATATTTGAGGTTATGTTTCCAAGATTTGTTTTTATATTTGAGGTTATGTTTTCAAGATTTTTTTTATATTTGAGGTTATGTTTCCAAGATTTTTTTTTATATTTGAGGTTATGACGACGATGCATATTTCGATGTTGGTCTTTTGCTTTGTAACTATGAAGATGGTAGCAGTATGTTCCACCTAGATGTTTGTAACTGTATTCAAGTTCACATGCATCGGTAAGTAGTATTCTGACAGTTACGAAAAAGTTCCAGCTCATGAAGAAACGTCCTGTGTCATAGAGTTACTTATTTCACGACGTGAAATACTGGAACATTGGAAAGCTGAAATTACATCTGTGCCTCAAAAGAATAGCAATAACGTGGACACGATAAGAATCTGTCACTACTATCTTAAACGGATTAAGACCAGACGTAACTCACTCCACAACAGCACGTAAATCGAAAAAAAAAAGATTCCTGTGACCAAAGACGAGTGACGTTCTTGACATCTGCTACACTCCACAGAAGCCAACGTGACGTAAACCGAAAATTAACGTCAGTGTTCAAACTTCATGACAGCGCATATCGATCCACGAACTTGATACTATATTCGCTTCCGTGTGTCGTTTATATTTCAAAACAATGAGACGCTTTCTCCATCTGACGGGCAATAACTAAACTGCATGTACTCGATAATCGATCTCCTCACCCAAATAATGCTCTGCACTTCTCTACTAGCCGTCACAAAATTGCCTGCTTCAAGGTCACATCAACATCGCACGACTTTACATCACGAACAGCGGACCCTACAAGAGAGAAAAGAGCTCAGAACTCGCACCGTAGCAAAGCTGTACTAGTTCCTTAGAGCCGCGCGGTATGTGAGGTCAAGTTCGTCTGTGGCCTTTAAGCACAAAAGTAGAGATTTGATAACGCGAATGATTTCATAACGACAATTACTCGACTAAACCGGTTCATATCGCCTAATTATAGAATTACTAACGGTCAACTGTGGGGATGTTCTGGAGAGGTGCTCAAGAATTCTTATAGATGTTCTGGAGAAGAACTGGAGAAGTCTTGAAGACGTTATACGGAAGTTCATAAGTCCTGGAAGAGTACTGCTGAAATCCTGGAGAAGTTCTGGAGAAGTCCTGGAACGGATCTGTGCAAGTCCTTAAGCGGTTAGGTCGGATTCATTTAAATTATATTGGGATACATTGAATTTGGTAAGGTTTGCGTTGTTCCGGGTTAAGTTTTTTTAGTTTAGTTTATGTTAGATTGGGTTTACTTGTTTTAGGTCAGGTTAGGATTTTTAGCTTGGGTTAGATAAAGTTATGTTTTACGATGGATTGGGTTGTGTCCTGGACAATATCTAGCTTTTTCATCGCAACGTAATTATAAATTATTTACCTGGACAGGTTTTTGTAGTACGTAAATTATTTTTTCGTCTATAATTTTACCTAAGTTTACATTCCCCTTCGTTTTTAATGTGTATACTTTAACAGTGTTTTAATTAATTAAGTCATGATGCAGAAATAGTTATCCGGAAATACTATTCTGTATATGGAAAATGTTATTTATAGGCTATAAATGAATATTCCTACATTAAAGTATTCACACAATTGATTCTGACATATTATAACACCCTGATGATGAAGGCAACAAGTACCTCTAAAACGACGATAAACGTTTATCACACTATGTGGCGCTACAGATCAGAAGACAGCGATCATGACATGGATGTTTGTGGGTTAATGCACATTTGAACTTGTGATTTGATACACTTTTACGCGTACCGCGGCTTCGTCTGTTCGTATATTGGCTAAAGCTCGAGGGCTGAACGCTTGGAGAGCAGTTTTTAATGAGTTTTAGCTTAGAAAATTATCTCTGGTGTCGCACTCAGAGCCTTGCTAGATCACTGCCTGTACAGGACCAAGCAAACATTGAAAATGGCGTAAGAGTAAGCGTGGGGAAGAAAACGTAATTCTACTACAAACAACGAAATGTAATTTATTCTAATTAACCAGAGGAAAAAGAATCATCTCACCCGTAATAGAATAATGTACTAAAAAGTACATCAGCTGTACTTCAAATGAGCTGTACGTAAGAATTCAGTCCGTACCGCGAAGAAAACACCGCACTTCACCATTACAAAGATCAACTGGTTAACGCTGTTTAAGGAAGTAATCGCTGTTTACACTGAGAATCATAGTTCGTCTGATTAATATTAAAGAATTCAGTCCGTACCGCGAAGAAAACACCGCACTTCACCATTACAAACATCAACTGGTTAACGCTGTTTAAGTCAGAATCATAAAAAACCACGCGCGCGCACACAAATACGAAATCAAGGGTTATTGATTGTTAATTCTGGAGGTACATACACCAGACCAACTGGAAACATTACATTTGATTATACAAGGACAGTAATACACGGTTGCTGGAAGTCTATAAATGGCTCCACACTTATCGACTAGAAAGTAGCTTTTCGATATATTTACCAGCACTGATCACGAAAGGGACCTCCCGCACGCTAACCAACCTAACCTATTATCAGCATTCGTCTGTACACAGCAGGTAAGCTTGATTTGGTGCGTACGAATTTCGAGCTGACCATAAGATCTTGATATCCCTAATACAGCAATGTCCAAAATATCAAAACAGCTTTAAGAACATAGTTCGTTACGTAATGTAATGACAGATACGAATCTGTGAATAATTATTCCTACGATATCGATTGTGGTATTCAAGAATGTACGTGGTTACCAAAGTTCTGGAGGAACGTACCTCTTCCAGCATCAAGGTACATATTTTCTGTCACTCTTAACATGAACGACACACGTTCCTCCGAAATGTTTGTAACCACGTACGAACTAAATGGCGACTAGACACAGATGAACCATTTCATTGCCTTGGGAACCTCAATTTATATTAGAATTAGGGAAATTAATTTTTATCTCAAAAGCGAAGTATGTTCATCCTTGCCTTCAGTAATTACAATACTGTGACACGCTCATTTCTTTCATACCTTTGTTATTTGAATATCTTCGTCACAAAAGTCATAATAACTTCTAAAATCTGCCTAATAGTAGCATAACTCATAAAATAGAACTATTGCCGTGCATAATCAATAGTGAAAACTTCCAGAGTTCTGGGGGTCCATAAAACACACACACATATTTACTGTGACAATAATATTATTGAGGTTATATATACAAAACCCTACAATTTCCGTACAGTTCCGATAAAAACAAAATTTGGATATTTTGAAAGTATCATTACAACCTTAACTGAATTTCCATTTCCATTTTGAGCAGTGAATGATTTTTTTTTCAACAGAAATCGAGTAGTAAATGCATCGCCGGAAGAAATGTGAACATTTGTTTGTATTTATAAGACGTGTTTCTGTCTAAAATACCTCGACAAGTAAGTCGTATATGTCACTAATGCATTCAAATACCAACAATATTAATCCTGTAAGTTACATGTTTCATTGTTATTGCGTGTAAACCAGTGTGAAAGTCAGGCATGAGTGAACTACACTTGGGTCTGAAAAGCTTCAATTACTGACCACTACGCGACTCTGGACTCTCGTAAATGATAGCCTTCGATGCCTGGAGTATTATTATTCAAAGCCAGCACGAAGTAACACAAAACGGACAACATGTCAAAAGCAGGTCACGATAATAGAAATTGCCACAGATTTAACTTTATAAAGTTGCACAACGTGTAATATTGACCCTGTTTGATACACGCATTATCTTTATATATAAACTGCCTGCTTTGCCCCAATAGCAGAGATGCCTTCCAGTCTCTTGTTAATGAATACAACGGGATTATTTTCAGAAGAAAACATGGCTAACCACTCAGCACTATAAAAAACAAACGTTTCAAATACCTAACGCCTCGGAAACTCTTAAAATGGCATTGGTCATTTTGAAACGCCTACATAATATTTGCTAATTCATTACGCACCAATGCTGACGTATGAAATGGTTTGGTTTAATAAAATGTCTTTACGCCAAACATTGAATGTGTATATAACTTTATGGGGCACCTGTACAGTGAAACGAGCATCCTAAGCATCAATGGCGCCCTTAAACGGGCCGTGACCCGGGTGAACCTGACCCAGGAGGTCACTAACTACCACCACGCCCATGGCACACTGGCGAAATAGCGACCGGACATGACGGAGACAGACAAGAGCGTGACCTTGGATCCATACTAAGAATGAAGGAAGAAGCTATAAGAAGGCAGGGACGACGTAACTCTCAACAAAAGAAGATAAGTGAGGAATCTTAGAGTAGACAGAAACATTTCATGGAGAATCAAACCAATAAAATTAATGAGAGATATATGAGTTGAAGGAGAAAAATGATAAATGAATGGATAAATCAGTGAATATCAGCAACAAGGAACAAACAAATTAGCGGAGGTATTTTCCAGTAATTTCAGAGCATAAGGAAAGTTTCGATATTATACGACAAGATGTAGTAATGAAAATGTTATCGAAAGAGAGACAGCAAGAGGTGATAAAGCAAGGAGCCGAGAGAAATGAATACAAAGAGCCAAGAAACGTACTGAGAAATTATAATTTAAGTGCAAATAATAAAAGTAAAAATAAGTAAAAAGGAAATAATCAAGAGTGAAAATCATTCACAGACCAAGTACGTATTTTACTTAAAAATCTGTAAGAATCTGTCACAAGGGAGGAGCAACTGGGCTGCAACAAAGTGACACAGAGCTGAAGTTACTCCGAAAACTAATTTACTTCCGATATACAAACGCCCGATTGCGAAGACAAGCAGAACAACACAGCGTTTAGAGAGAGTAAAAAATACAAAGTGCTGAGAGACGTAGAGAGTTAGCACTTCGGAGCGGGTCGAGGTTACTGCAAACTCAAAGAAATAGAATCTAATTAAGCCTACACGAAGAGAGAGAGAGAGAGACGTCCAAAGGCAAATATCCACACGTAAAAGAAAAATCCTCTGCAGTCAGTAATGAAATATATTCCGTACTTACGGAGAATAAATAGTGAAACAGGAGATACAAAGAGCAAAATGTGATATTTATATCGTTTGCTGGAAATAATAATAATCCTTTTGTAAACAGAAATTAAATTGTGACCCAGATCCTCAGCCCCAAGGGCGAGTACTTTGGCTGAGGGTTTCATTTGAATTTTCTGTGGCTAAATCCTCGAAGTGGAGTCCTCCTTGAAAAGTTGATAGTTGTCCGTGTTCACAGGAGATCAATCTGTGTAGAATTTCATATTATCACGCCGGTGATTCAGAAGATTGTTGTCTCCTGAGTTACAGAACCCTTAATTCTGTTTATACTCGTGTTTTTTCCCTCTAGATTTAATTATTGTTGCACTAAAGGCAAAGGTAGAATTCCTAATCAATCTCTACCTAACCACAGAGTCTGCAGTTCTTATGGGAGAATAAAAGACTTGATTAATCTACAACAGTTTGTCGCATAGAAAATCGACATTCTTTCGTCAATAACGTTCATACGCTAGACACTAAAAATCCATTCATTTAGATTCGTGTGGTAAACAAACTGGCAGTAAAATCCAGTCAGAACTTTCTTCATAGACTGGAAACAAAATCAGCTGTTCTATAATAAAACATTACCTGTCGTAAAAGAACAGCATCATAATATTAGCCACTGCGCACGCGCCAGTTAAGGTTAACGTCGCGACGGACAGTAGCAAATTTGCGTCTCTCTCTCTCTCACTCTCATTCAAATACGATCTACCGTCTCACTTGGATGCGTCTATCCCGCCCTCTGCAGTCAGGGTGGGAGCCACCCTCCACCCCCGCGCTACCAACGCAACGCTAAACCTACGTGCTATCTCGCAGTATCGTTGCTGGCAGTGCAGCCCGCGACCGGAACGCGTGCCCTCGTTGGATGTGGATCGTGAGAGACAGGAGCAGTGGATGCGTGTGCAGTGAAGTGGCGGGAAATTTAGTTTCCAAAACGGTAAATGTTTAATTTCTAAAACGCGTAAATATCGCGATCTCACAGAAGTGAAAAATTGGATTACGGAATGAAGAAACTTATACCTACATTTAAATAAGTCAGTGTTAATCTTATTGAATATTTTAATTAAATAATTCAAATAATAAAACTTGGTATAAACTCAGTTATTAAGACTACATAAAATGCGATTAAGAGATTTAAGGCAAAACTGTTGTGAGGAGTATATAATTATTTCGGTATGTATTCTGTTTAATTTGCATTTATTAATTACATTTTCAGAGAGAAGTTATTAAAGAGAATTTTTAAGTTTAGAAAATATTGTAATTCGCTTCTTTGGTATTAATAACAAAATTATCAAAACATTCACATAGCTCAAAGAATAACACAAGCAAATTTAAGAAAAATAATTATAAAAAATGCGTCACTATTTCAATAATTATTGTATAGTGCATGGTAAATTGCATGTAATGAGTTCAATTATGATTTATATGCACTCAAGACGTTCTAATATTTCATGAAACAATACAAATATTATGGGATCCGCCATCTTTAAATCATTAGCGACTCACAGACTTCTTAACATGTCAAGGTTATTTCGATGTTTTATAGCAACATTCATCTGACGAAAACTCTCAGTTACACTTACACGGTGGTAGATGTTTTATAGCAAGATTCGTCTTACGCAAACTCTCAGTTACACTTACACGGTGGTAATATTTCACTCTTAAATTAGGTTTTATTAAAATAAATATTATAGGGGAGAGTTATTATGATTTTAAAGTTGTTAAATCGCACGAAACAATGAAACACCATCATTATCAGATCATATTATCACGCATGTCCTAAGGAAACAAAGTTTTCATAAACATTCACCCACAAACTTTTGGAATTAAAATATGGTGTATATGTAAAATTCAGAAACAAAGAATTCTGCTTCATGCCTAGAAATGTCAATTATGACCAGAACATGTCAACCAACTTACGAAATATATGGCAAAAGAATGAACCATTTATCGAATTTCCCCAGAGAGTACAACGAATGGCTACAAATATTACATTCAAATTAAAAATGTTCTCCGTGCTTCAATATCTACAGCAGTGTTTCTGTTTTATAATTGTTCAATTTAGTTATTTCAGTTATGAAAATTTTGAAGTAGTCACAAAATTTACATTTTGTCTGAAAAACTGAAAAAAACGTCATTTGGCCACACACCGTAGATGCAAATGGGACGATAATATAAAAGTACGGATGACGGTATTCTGAGTTAACAAGGACGTACTGACTTTTAGGTACATTCTAACAATTTTAGGTCTTCATCTTTAAGGTTGAACTGATAAAGGCTGTATTCCTTTGAAACGTTGGTATTTACCCACAAGTCCACAAGGCGTTGCAACCACAAAATACCAACATAAACGTTACCGCCTTGAGAACCCCGTACCTCATGTCTTAATAAATGATTATTTATAAATGTTACCCTCACTTGAGTGACTCTCAGTAGGCCAACCAGAGAGTCACTTAGTCATTGAGCCAGTAAGTCAGTGCATGAGAGAACTCCCCTTTCGTCGTATCTTACGTCACAGGATGAAAAACAAGCTTCCTCAAAATTCGAGTTCGAAATTAACTTTAATCTTTGAATTTACAACAACACTCTGAGGGTCTACGTGGGAATTCTCAGAAGGTTTTGCAATTAACTATCTCGAGTACGCCAGGGTACGTACAGACATTCTAAGAAGTCTACTCAACCCTTGCATTAAAAACCTACAGTCTCGAAATCAAAGTCACAAAGTCATAATAATCTTCCTCTGCCTAAAACTGTCCTATAGATTTTTTAGTAGCTCAAATTTATAAAAAAACATATTATAACAAAATTGTGAGAAGAATTTAAGGCCCAGAAGCAGAGGGATTGAGCAAAACACATAATAAATAACCTGAACATTGATAATATTGGCTTAAAATTGCATTGAGATAAAATAAAATATTCTGATATTAACGGACGTCACACGAATTAAATACATGAAAATAAGTTAGCATACTACCCCAGACTTTGTCTGCAGGTACTGAGAAAAACCACGAAAATCTTTAGTCCGTACAGCCTGTATCTGGACCGAGATTCGAAAGTGCGACCTTCCGAGTACTAAGGAGCATTGATATAAATTGGCCATAACATTAACATGTTCACATGTGTGTAAATTTCGGAACGGTCTGTACTTAGAAATTTACACTGATGAATTCTAATTTCCAATTAAGCTCGTAATATATAGCTAATAGCTATATACACCTTTATTAGCTATTAAATTTGTTTTAGAAATGGATCACTTTGATAATATAGGGAAACAAAAACGAGATAAAATTGCTAAGAGAAGCTGAAGCTAACAAGAATGATTATTTACTTCAGTGGTGTTGATTACGTTCGAGAGATGGCGGGCGAGTATACGTAATTTTGTAAGAGATATCTATGATCTATGGTAATACGTTCTGGTTATAACATTAAATTCATCTTAGCGCTTTCTATTACAATAAAAAAAAATACTCAAAATGTTAATCTGATATTTTTATAAATATGTGACAAAGTGTTACTGTCTTTTATCAACTTTATTTTCGGCAAATCTTAATTTTAATCTTTTCAAACGTTACTTAATTAATCCGTCATCAGATTTCCACGGCGACTCGCAATTTCTATTGTTAAATATAAAAGAATAAAATCAAAATGCATTATTCGTCCCAAAAATACCGATAACACAACATATTTGTGCATGCCATGAATTATGTGTCTCCTTCAGATCTGTAATATTTACATTGCAATATAACAAAATTAAATTTAGTTACTTGGGTCTATAAACATTTTAAAAAAAACACCATAAATTCTGCAACAATTACCTTCATATATAATAACTGAATATCACGTCAATATATTATAAAAGTCTGCTCTCAATTTCTTAATTAACTGGATACATATGGGCAATGGGCAAATTTAACGATTATTCAAAATCAACTTAGCAGAATACGTTTTTGTTCAAAGCCTGTAATCTGCTCTTACTCTGAATGGGTATAGAGCATCACCTTTTCAGATTTCGCCTATTTAAGCAATAGACTCGAATTCATGATTTCATGTTCAATGTGTTTGGGATCCCTAAATCCAGGGACATGTAATCCTATTACAAGTTTAATTCGAACAAACACTCACGAGACCGCTCCACGTATTGCTACTGGAGAATCAAAATAATTTGCGTTGTTTACCTCAAAAACATCAAATGGATCGGATATGAAACATGATAAAGGTTTATGGTCCTCGTCATTTGAATTCTCACTTAATTTCTGATCCCTTCTAGGTGTTATCGCATATCGGCGGAGTGCCTATAAAACTTGCTCTGTCCTTCCATCTGTGACGTACGACGACTCGAGAAGGATCAAACAGGTTTCCAGGAAACGTGACGTTTGAGGATTTTATCGTAATTAGTAGCAATATTTTAATTTTGGTTAAGCTCTGTTAACACTAACAGACACTTTGCATGAACACGTACATGCTTTAGTGACTTACTGGGAAATCGCCAACCAGGAATGTCCCTTGCCATCCACAAATATCAAAGGTCAAATACAGGCAAAACCACTCTACGCGTATATTTTCTTCCTTGCTCTTATAATTATCTGATTTAATGTTGTTTGTTCAGATCATCCGGGATAATGTATCACTTACTCGGTATAAAGTAAGACAATATAATCATAACAACAGATTAAATAGAAAAAATAACCCTGAGAGATTGGTTGACTGATTTCATGGTTGTTGCGCTGAACGAATATCTGGTTATATAACTCAATGCCTGAACTGCTGAATGACTGGCTGACTTCATAGGTAACTATCAGGCTGAATGTCTAATTCACTGATGCATTCATTGGATGCTTGACGTTACATGTAAGTGACCAAAATAGCTAACCAAGCTCATTTTAATGACCTTCATTTAACTCCCTATCACGTGTAGAGATAATATAACTACGATATTAATCGTTTGTATTATTCTATGATGAGGTTAAGAATGTCTCCAGGTCTACTTTATGCCTGCTTCGTACCGTTATCAGATAAATATTGCCGTAAAAATACAAACCATTATTACGTTTTAGATTATATCACGCATGCTTCCACTGAACGCCTGCAATTTTGTAACTAGGCTACCTGCAATTAGTAGTAGTCGGAGATGTTGCCGACCGAGCACGGCGAGCACGGAAATTATAGTAAAGTTATTGAACAATTTCTTTTAGAGAAATTTGTTATGTTTTTTCCTAAATCAGGTATATGTAACAGTGACGTTCCAGGAATGTATATTGGAGGTGCTTATTTCGTATCTCATCCGGGTTAACGGTCACCATGACAAGTTTTTTCGTTGGATTTATTGTTGCAACTCTAAAGTAGGGTCAAGTCTGCTTACAGATCCCTGCGTATTCGAAATTAATGACCATCTGTTAACTTCGTTAGACTACAAACGGTGTGCTTAAAACAGCGTTTTAAGGTGATGCAAATATACGACTGTGGTAATTTTTAAGAGAATTGACTTTTAGGAAAGAGTTTCAAGCACAAGACACGCGGAATGAAATATAGCACAAGAGTTTTTCCTTACATTGCTTAAATTACCGCATCACTTACAGAAATATTAAGAGAAATAAATTAGCACTCTTCTATGTCACTATGGAGGACCCTTGGGGTTGACACAAAAATGTGCAACTGTCAGCTTATCAAGGTAAACTCTCCTCCATGGACACAGATTACATGTTGTCCAGCCGTAAGACAGCAACACAAGATTTTCCTCAGTACTGTATTTTCAAACACAGTACTGAGGGAGCAACTAGGAGTGACTGGAAAAAATCTCGAAATGAGAAAATTGTAAACTTGTACTGTTTATCAAATATTGTTAGGGTAACAAAACCAAATGAAGTTGACATAGGAGAGGCATGCAGTCTTAAAATACATAAAAAAATCCATACACATTTAAATTTGAAACCCTTAAGGAAAGTGACAATTTGGAAGACCTTGGCGAAGATGACAGGTTGATAAACATATTAAATACGTAATGCAGAAATCTATGGATTGAATTGAGCTGGACTAAGACAGATTCCAGTTGCGGGCTTTCGTGAACACGGTACTGTTTATTCTGACGACCCAGCCGTCTATTTTCCTGGCATTTCGCGGCGTATTACGTGGTACTTTTGTGCCTGCGTTTAAAAACAGACCATTAACCACTGAGGTGTCTCACGTTTATTAGTGTACCCTTCGTTCAGTCTGCAGATCAAAGCTCCGTGCCAACTAATACGACACGCTTTCTGAGTGCTACTAAAGTGCCTTAATACAACATTCTGTCAGAAGCCTTTACACTCCTGATTTCACTCAGTATGTGCAGACTGCACGGTGAAATGTTGCATGAAAATGTTTTGGGCGCAGACTCTCAGATTTAGCGTCTGCACGTGGAAAAATTGCTCAGTGTTACGTCCAGCGGTGGGATCTTGCTAACGCAGTGACGAGGTTTGTGTTTCGTAAAATGTAGGAAATTTCTCGATTAGCTGAATGACTATTTATTAGCTTCAGGAGAAGGATTTAATTATGCTTCAAAATTCTATTCCAATGATACAAGGAGTATACAGACTTAATGCAAAGATAACTTATTTGAGCAGATATTATTCAGAACAACCATGATTCAAACATATACAGAGGGGCCCAAAAAAATGTATACACACTTTATTAGATCTCATCTATGGACTTTTTTAGAAGTTGAATCAAATTACGGTAGCAATGTGTAGTACGATGTTCTCTAAAAATATGTCGTTAATCACATGAATAAATAACATCTATTAAAGCGTGTATACACTTCTTTTGGGCCCCTCTGTATTATTCAAGCATAAACCAAGCTATGGAAATAAAATCTCTGCCTTTGAGACGATTGTAAACGAGTTTCCAGCATCAGATTATGTATATTAATAATTTCTTCCCAATAATAAATTTGTACTTTTTAAGAGGTCTACACACCAAAATTTAGAATCTATTACTTGTTTCTCCCATAATAACCTATATATTATACTGTAGCAATAATCATGACTCGTACAATTGTCTATCAATGGTTACGTTAATGCGGAATGAAATGTCCTGATTCAACTGGCCTCTTGTTTATGCTAAATATATTAATTTGTTTGGCGCTTATATGAATACAATCACGTATTCAAACACAGGTTCATATGTTAGATTAGGACAAACATACACGTGATACAATCAAATTTAATTGTGGTTATATAACGACTCTCTAAATATAGCGTCGAATGTTATGATAATGAATTGGGAAGAATATAGTATGAAGGATATTTGGACTAATTTAATTTATTTTCACGAATTTCCCCAGAGGGACTGAGGAAACCCACTAAAATCGATCACAACAGCCGGTATGTAGGCGAGATATGAGCCCGGGACAATCATAAAAAGTATGCGGAATGCAAATCACTCATCACGACATTGCCTAATAATTATTATTATTATTATTATAAAATATATAATTATATTACGTTTACTTTAATTTTATTTCAGGTTTCTAAATAGACGTATGGAACGTCAATTCGAATACTCCGCTTCAGAGACATGGTTGATTTTATAAATTAATCCATAACTTTACCGCCTCAACATTCTGAATACAATGCAACGAACATGAAGTTAACAAAAATTACACGTAGCTAAACGCAGGACTTATTTCAGTGCTGGAAATTATGACCACATTCCATAAATTGCGTATATCACTGAAGGACCAGCACAGAATTAACAGCAAATCTCATAACAGCCGCGTGTAAAAATATACCCACGCTTCAACGCTTCTGAAACAATGTTGAGTGGAATGGCCACGCTCTCTGACCTAGCCCAACAAGGAAACATTGGTCCCGGTGCCACTGTCTCATCGCTCAACCATAACGACACTCCGACAGGGTCCTCTGCGGGTGCCGACACCTCGCTTTCCCAGGCCCCAGAAGCTCAGTGGCCAGAGTTGGTTCCAGCCATACTCAAAGGGTTTGTGATGGGAACAATTATCGTGGCGGCTGTACTGGGCAACGCCCTCGTCATAATAAGTGTTGTCAGACACCGAAAACTACGAATAATCACAAACTACTACGTCGTCTCACTTGCCTTAGCAGACCTCCTCGTGGCCCTCTGTGCTATGACGTTCAACGCGAGCGTCGAGCTGACGGGTGGAACATGGTTGTTCGGTTATGTTATGTGTGACGTGTGGAACTCTCTGGACGTGTACTTCTCAACAGCTTCCATCCTCCACCTGTGTTGTATAAGTGTGGACAGGTATTACGCCATCGTAAGGCCACTAGAATATCCAATTACAATGACTCACAGGACGGTCTGTTTCATGATAGCCAACGTCTGGATGCTACCAGCTCTGATTTCCTTTACTCCCATCTTCCTAGGTTGGTACACGACACCGGAGCATCAAGAGTTTCGTAAATCAAATCCTCACGTGTGCATATTTGAAGTTAATATCTATTATATGATGATATCGTCGGGCGTTTCCTTCTGGATCCCCGGTGTCGTCATGGTTACCATGTATTATCGTATTTATAAAGAGGCCGTGAGGCAGAGGAAAGCTTTGTCTCGTACTTCAAGTAACATCTTGCTGAACAGCATTCATCAGCGGCACACAAATCACCACCATCACCACAGCCATTACCTGCACCCCAGCGACGGTGACGTCACGGTCCCACCTGGGACTGTAAGCAGTAGTGCTAACAGCAGACAGTCCTCAGTGCGCTCTGCAGCTTATGGCACCACTGCTAAAACTGCGACCGAACTCAACATGAACGGTAAGTGACAACCCCGTAACTTTCCGATCAATGCTCAGTATTTTGACAAGGAGTGTCTGATACATTTTATAATGTATTAAATCTATTATTTAATTACATTTGCCTGTCTACGTAACATCCATTAAAAGTAGACATTTTAAGATTCTGCGAAAAGAGTTACTTCGTAAGCGCAGCATGAAGACTGAATTTCTGGCACGAAGCAGCGACTTCTGTTTGCGTGCTCTATTATACAGCTGTATCATTGCCTCTCCTCATTTCGCTTTCGTGCTTATTACAACACAAAATATTCACGTCACGAAGTCGCCCACATTTCCAAACGAAATTCTAGAGGTTAACATCCAGAAATACGAGGTCCTTACTGCAATAAAAATAGTGATTTCACTCTTCTAGGTTGTGGCGCCGTGTAGACTCATACGTAGATGACTAGGTTAAGGAGAAAGAACTGTGAGGATGGAGACGGAATGTTCCTCCGAACCTTTGGTGCCTACCTAAGAACCTACACGGCGTCACAACCCAGAAGAAATGTCGTCAGAATCCAAAACGTTCAGAATTAAAAACCTACACCAATACATATATGTATTAAGATTTTTCGTCGTTTTTCCTCAGTGCCTCGGGAATGCCTTAAATTTGGCCACGACAGCTTCTTGACATATCTTTTCCATCATCATCATCATCTAGCTGTCAAGGATTTTAAGCCTCGTGACCTCAGTCACCCAGGAATCTTTTTAAAGGACGTCTTTTGTTTATTTTCTCTATTGGTTTATGTTTAAAAATGTGATGTGGCGATCTATCCTTGTCCATTCTTCGTACATGTCGGATCCAGTTCCTTCTGTATCTGTCGATTTTTTTCCCAATATTGGCTCTGTAGTTCTTTGTGGATGACGTCATTTCTTTATGATCTCTCCATGTGTGGCTGTTTTTCTTAAAAACTTCGTCTCTGCTGCTGCAATTTACATTACTCGTATTACACGACTACATGTTCTGATCTACTTAATTCGTCGCTAATCTATAAATAATACCAATAGATTCATCGGTAGACGCCAACGTTGCAGATGAACATACTGTCTCCATTTTCAGAGTTGAGGTTTCAGTACGTTTCTCAGAATTGTTGACGTCTATTATACGCACATAAACACATGTACGTACGTAGTTCTGCATGTACCGTTCAGCTAATAATATGAATAGTCTTACAGCCAATTCACAAATGTCGGTGATCTCGAATATACGTGGCTTAAATAATGGACAAAGCTAAAATTGAAATCTGCGTAATGATAGTTATTAATGCTTCCAGACACATGGGTATCATCTGTACCTACGTAGAGCTTTTACGTAATTAAATATCGTCGCGCCGCGTGGAAGACAACAGATGTTCTGTTGTAAGGCAACCCTGATTGTCAGCAAGCAATTCCATAGATACACTTCGTAAAAGCATATTTACAGGGAACAAACTCAGATATACATTAGACTTAATAACAAATACATTAATGAGATGATAAAGTTGCGTCATATTGTGATAAATATATATTTGTTTAAATCTTGTCAGTCTAATCACAATAAAATTCCTATTAAATATTAAAATGTTACTATAATTAACATTTAAATGTTTAATAGGAATTTTTTTTTGTGATTAGACTGACAAGATTTAAACAAATACATTAATATTTACTCAGTTCAGGTTCCAAGGAGAATATTTAAAACACAATTAAACCAAAATGAAAATGAACGAACGATCAACTTTCAAAAGACTTCCGACGTTTCGGTAGCAAACCCCTACTCGAGAAATCACCCCTGAAACGTCGGTAAACTTCTACCAGACTATACGGCCCAACAGCCCAGAAGACAGTAATATTCCGAGTAATTCTGTACAATAAGATGAAAGACATTTTCAGAAAACGTCCTACCGAATTGCTTTATTAACTCATGTCAGCCAAAGACGTAACGAAGTGGGAATGCAATGTACTGCAATTCGTTCTTGTTCGTCCCCCGATTGAATGCATTTGTGGTTAGTTCCAGGAAATAACACTGTCAAGCATTTAACTTCATTTGGAGGTGCATTAAGCATCATGTCGTACCACACACACACTGCCTTCAATTCACCATGTCACAACTATCGAGAAATGGCCTATAATCTTCTGTTGGCTTGTACAAGCATGAACCAGATGAATGTTGGATAGATACAGACTGATTCATTGATCGATCGATCTATAAATCATTTATTAAGTTGACTTCTCTATACAGAAGACTGCACGTACAACACCGAGTTTATGCGGTTTACAGCTCCAAAGTAAATAATTCTAGTATTTTTATCAATATAATTATACTCTCCCCTACCAACCTCTAATTATATTTAACTAATTTTGTTCCAACATTTGCGTTCAATTTTATTCAACAATTTTTTAATACTAGAACAACAGTACAATTAATTTTTGTCAAGCGAGATTTCAGGTTTACCGCAATGGCGAAAATGATTATGGTGATCTCAGTAGATTCATCGGTAGACGTCAAACGTTGCAGATAAACATACTGTCTCCATTTTCAGAGTTGAGGTTTCAGTACGTTTCTCAGAATTGTTGGCGTCTACTGACGACTCCACGTGGCGCCAAAATCAAGAACGTTCCCCGATTTTAGAACACTAACCTGACCTCAGAGTGTTTAATTAATGACCCTGACCAGATAACTGAATGTCCCATAAATATCTCACGTTAATTATTTCGGTTGCTCTGTAGCGCACTCGTACGTCATGACGCACGCGCAGTGTCGCCATTTCAATCATGACTGTCCAATACTTTATGTAACGACGTTGAAGCTTTGGAGTGATTATACGTAAACATTCATACATTGCCTCTGATTTTATAGACGCCATAATTATTAGACTTTCTATTAGATTTTTAAATTGCCAGCTATATGTCTTCAAAAAATATTAGACGTCATGAAACATTATTATTAATCAACTTTACGGTGTAAGAATTTTTTTTATAAAAACCGACAGTGGTTTAGCTGGTCAACGAATTTCTCGGAAAACTCATTATTCTTCCCAAGTAAATGGCACAGTGGCAGATACAGGGCGTTTTATTTAAGACGTAACCATTTCTTAAGAACAATCTATAGAAATGCTTTCCAAATATCATTGTCCGAGGCCAGACATATTTCCTGATGAAAACATTGTTACCAACCTGTGTATTGTTGTATTTTTCAGTAATAATAATATTTTCACAGATTCTACTTGATATAAAACTGAACGAATTATTGTTCCTTCTGTAATATAAATCATGATTAACTCATATATACATATAAATATTGCTGCCACTGTGACGTACGTAGCTATTAAATTCATGTCTCGTAGGAAACATAAAACTTTGCTCAAGCAAATGTTGTCTTCGAACCATACAGTGTAGTCTGACCGCATGTTAATCCCAACCGGACTGCATGATCGACTGAGCAATTCTGTGCCTTTCAGAGCGGTAGCAATCACCCACAATGCTGTGAGCAGCACCTGGACCCACAGGCGCTAGAAACTCACGTTCAGGAGAGTCGAGTGTGTCGCGGTTGCGTTACCAACTATTCAGAATTCTGAGCGTGTTGTTAGGTCGTCAGTGGGTGTGCGTTGCTCTGTAAGCAAGGCACTGCCAGATTTGCAACGTTCGCAAATATAAGGCAAGGGAGAGGAAGTGACGAGGTGTTAGAGCTACCTTCACAAATGTAGATACGTCCATGAGTAAATGTGTAACCAAGGAAATATTTCGCGCGGAAGTTGCCAGCCGACTAAAATACTACACGAATATATTACGAATTTTTTAAGAGAAAATGTTCAGATAAAATGTTTTAACCAACAAAAAAAAAAATCACTAGCAATTTGCAACATTAATAGCAAGAAACATCACGTGTTAGGCAGTTAATATGAAAAATACATCAAGCCTAGTAAGTTACGATGGACTGGCCATGTAGATTGGTTTGAAAGTTAAGAATTTAATACAGAATACAACATTTTGTTTGTTTTTTTCACGGCGGAAAATATTGCCAGGATTGGTCTTCTCTGTTGTAACTTTAAGTACACACCAACGTTTCGGCGGAATATACTGCCACAATCATCAGGCCTAAACAAAGAATGTTCGTGGACTAATCTCCCGGAAACCGGCAACATCTGTGTTATATTAATAGCGAAATCTGGATTTCCAAAAGGTGATGCGATGATTTTATCTTATTTATGTATTTTCTGAAATGAAACGATATAAATATAAACGCCATGTTTAATAATCGCATATCGATAGTGGTTTCGGCCCCTCCGGGGTACACGTACCATACCGAGTTTGTGTTTCCATATTTTCTGTATTCGGAAATATAAAATGCTGTAGAGAATTCTAACCTTTACCGTCGACATGTTATCGGCCTTAAACACGTAACATATTTGGTTGAATAATCTGTAACGAGATGTAATTAATTGTTCTGCCTTAAAATATGAATACATTTTAGTGTAACCACGATAACCTAATAACCAAGCAGGAAACAATAGAAAGTTTTAATACTGTTAGCAAAAGAATATTACTCTTGGGCAAAATCCTGAGTAATTTTAAACACAATCAAGTTTTACAAAATATGTTTCTGTGTTTTACTCTCATAAAATCACACATTTATCTATGATTCTTAAAATTAGTAGTAATTTTAAAGTTTGCCCGCAAAATTTCCGTTTGTTATTTGTCTTTATTCCATTTTAATCCAGGGAAATATGACACGTTTTGACGTGACTATCTTCATTAAACTACTGAAATGATAAACCTGTATTCATCATTAATTGCTATTTTGCGATCGATTAACCAATAAACATAAGACGGATATAAGCTAACGAACAAAACCCTCTTGCCCACAGAATGGCTACATAACTATCTATAAATGTAATTAGCAATGCTATTTGGTCATCATTGCTGTTGTTAAGAATTTCAGTGCCTCATATAATAATAGTTAGGAATGTGTGGGTGTTGTTAGAACAATCGAAATCGTACGAA